AAGTCACAGAATAGTTTTATGACAGAACTAGAAATAAAAGTACTTATGATGATGAGATTTTGGGACAGCCAATAGCTGAGGATGACCAAATAAGAAGCAAAACAAAAAGTGTTTGTAGTTCATTCTGAGGTACCAGGTAAGGGACAATGAGCTTTTTAACGTAGGTAAATTCACATTGATAATGTCCATCTAGATCGGAATTATAAGGCAAGTCCTATAAGACTTGCTAAGATAAGGTTGGTTGCAATGGCTTTTGAAGAATGACTTAAGTAATATAGATGTTAGAGAGATTCTTGCAGTGCTCAAAAGGTCATCTTAAAAATCTATTCGCTCTTTTGGCTCAGATAATGGGAGTGTAGTTCGCTCAGCATAAAAGTCTTATTTCTGTAGAGCAATATGATTCACACAAACTTCTTTCTGAGAAGTGTCACCCCGCAGAAATCTTTCAACACATTTTCCGTGGAACTGCAGGTCAATTGGAATAAAAAGTACGTTTCTGAAATTAATTTTCAGAAGCAGTTTTTGAACTCTTCAAAGATGCAGCAGATACAGAAAGAGAGCTGCGGAAACTGAATAGATTCATTTATAGACATTGGATATAATTTTCCAAAATTCCTAACTATCTGGATGAGTGGCAATGGATTGGAAAATATCAAATGTAACATTAATAATCAAAAAAGGAGAAAAACAGAAACAGGGAATTATAGGCCACTTAAACTAACACTTGTTAAAGAGAAGTTGCTAGAATCTGTTATTAAGAAGCTTACTAGAAGGTAGACTTGTGAAAAGAAAAGAATATTCAGTTTGTTAGATTTTTTTGAAGCAGTAACATGCAGGGTGGCTAAAGGGGAACTCGTATTTATGGTGTACCTGGATTTTCAAGAGACATTTGATAAGGTGCCAGTCAGATGTTACTGCATAAGATAAGAGCACATGTCCTAGTGCATATTTTATTAGCATGGATAAAGGATTGATTAGCTAGCAGGAAGAAGAGAGTGTACTTTTTTCAGGTGGACATGCTGTCTCTAGTGGAGTGCCATAGGAATTGGTGCTGGGCCCTCAATTATTTATAATCTGTAAAATATCAATGACTTTGCTGAAGGGACTGAATTTGCTGATGATATCAAGACAGCTAGGAAAGTAAGTTGACAAAAAGAGGTGGAAAGTCTTCAAAAAATATATGGATATTCCTGGAAGCAGTTCACAGAATGTTCTCTTGACCCATTCTCATGATGAAAGGCTTTGTTTATGAAGAAAGGTTGGATAGGTAGGGCTTATATCCACTGGAGTTTAAAAGAACAAGAGTTGATCTTTTTGAAATGTGTTATGAAGTTGTTTCATGTTTAATATTTTGTGAGCACTTGAGTTTGAAGGATTGTCAAAATGCATGGATTTTTTGGAAAACTTTTTAAACAAGGCTTTTGGAAATTATGTGACTTGTGGTAAGTTTGGGAAGTTGGTAATGTAGTGATATTGTCAGTGAACTAATAATCCAGAGACCCAGGCTAATGTTCTGGAGACATGGGTTTGAATCCCACCATGACAGAAGATAAAATATGAATCAATGAAAATCTGGAACAAATCCTCATCGAATAGCAACCCTGTAACTATTGTTAATTGTTGTAAACTCTCATCTGTTTAACTAATACCTTGAAGAAAACTGCCATCCCTACCAGGCCTGGCCTACATATGACTCCAGACCTACAGCAAGAGGTTGACTTTCAAGTGACCTGCTAGGGTCAGCTCAAAGGGCAATCAGTTCAAGCAACATCCAGGGATGTGCACTAAATGTTGGCCCAGCCAATGAAGCACATATTCCATGTACAAATGAAGAAGATTGCTACCCTTGATTGCTTGAACATAGTTCAGAAAACCTGGGTTTTATGACTATCCTGTTTGAGGAGTATTTGCAGCCTCGGAGCTTCTGTTTTGAAGTTAAGTTGGAAAAAGCCTACTGCTGGCAAATGGGACGAGATTTATTTATGATATCTGGTCGGCATGGACAAGTTGGACCGAAGGGTCTGTTTCCATGCTGTACATCTCTATGATTCTGCTGAACAAGCTGCTTAGCTCATATCTGTTGTTTCTGAAGAAGTGAATTCCTTGCAAGACCTGATTGTTCTTTTAGACGATAGTGAATGAAAGAACTTCTCAGCGTTCTATTTCCTGAGCAAGTTGTGATCACCAGATTGACAGATTTTAGAACATTCCACACCTTTCCCTTGCACTTTGGAGAATAACTACCCTGGATTTTCTTTATTGAGTTTTCTTTTTAAATGAATCTTTACAGAGAGAAGATACATTTTCTTTTTACCTAAAGTGTTTCTGCGTGTTTTACTTTATTTAGAAGGTTATAACAGTTATATTTTCATATTACAAAATCATGTGTGTTAACCAGTTCTACATCTCTGTTGGATGGGTTTTTGTTTTATGATAAATTGATAATTTTGTGTTTACTGAGGAAATCTGTTTGATCTTTTCATTCTAAGCCTAATACTGAGAAAGCATACTCTGGGACTTGGGCAAAATATTGTTATATTTATGTTGTGACCTGTGGAGTAGTGGGACTAGAGAAAGACAGTGCACTCCTCCCATCTCTGTTGCAGTGTGTATAGGATGCTGAGGGGATTTGATCAGGTAGATACTGTGAGGATGTTGTCTGTTGTGGAGGAGATTAGGACTAGCATTATAATTTAAAAACAAAAGGTCTCCCTTTTAAGATGAATTAAAAGAATTTCTTTTCTCCCTGAAGCTTGTTAGTAAGTGGAATTCTCTTCTGCAAATAGTAGTGGAAGGTAACTCAACAAATTTATTTAAGTACGAATTAGACTTTTTTAAAAAAAGGGAATTGAGATTTATAGGGAGCAGAAGAGAAAATGGTGGTGATACTACAGTGAAAATTCCATAATCTTATTGAATGATGCAGCAGGCTTGAAGGGTTGAATGACCTAATCCTGCTCTCAAGTCTTATACTCCTGTGTATGGCCTGCATGATATCTCTGAGGTATGGGAAAGATCTGTTTTTTGCAGAAACTAGGTTGTGCTCAATGAAAAATAGCTCCCTTAATGCTGGAAATGCATAAAGATAAACTTACAGGCATCTTCGTGATGCAAGTTGATGTTTTTTTATGGGGTGGTACCATGAAATTAGAGATGTGTTATTAATAAGGCAATACATAATTTAAAATAGGGAATCAGATTTATGTGTTTGGTTAAATATTAAGCAAGGTAGGTCTTCAATAATTACATACCAACAATTCTATTTAGAAATTGTTGCTGCCATTCTGCTTAATTACATGAGGCCATTACAGCAGTATGATGTAATATCGAAGAGACAGAGAAACAATAAAACCTGATTAGTCTGTTGAACTGATTGTGCAGTTATGCTGGACAGCTTGCCAGTTTTGATGCATTGATGTTAAGTTCGACAACAAAACACTTCGAGATAGACAATATTTTAAAGGGTTGAATAAAACATTAAGCAAATTGGACGTGAATAAATGTGCAATTTAGCTGCCTACAGATGGGAACCTAAGAATTTGAAGCTATCCAATGTTAGTGATATTACAAATGCTAGTCTCAATGAATATTCTAGTGCAGCTGGTTTCATAATATTTCTGAACAGTGTGTGTGAAATGTTGCCCACTTTAGAAACCAACAAAATTGGTTTGTTGGAATGTTTGTTAGAGGTACTTTGGCAGCTGAAATATTTGCTTTTGTGAATGTGGAATTCTATTTTTTCAAATATTTTAAGAGGCATTCTTTGCAATGAACAATCAAAAGATAGTATCCTTGATAAATGGTATGTCTGTTATAGTATGTTGTCATGTACGCTCTTGCAGAGAATAAGTGCGAAAAGATTACAGGTTGAATTTGCTGGCTTGGAACAAATAATTATTGAGAAAGGAAATCACAAATAAATGCAAGTCGTTAACTTTTGTTCACAAAACAAGATGCATGTATGAAGAAATTCCTTCTTGAGAGTCCTTGAGGAGAAGCTACTTTAAAAGTATGTACAGAACATAAAAATCATTGATTTAAGTTATGAAGCTCTTGTGATACATATAAATGTTTTATTTACTTAATGATGAATAAGGGAATCTGCTAATATTATGCAAATGGTGGGCATTAATTGGGGGTTCACCTGTTCCTCCAAATGAAGTAACAAATTGAAATCGACTTTTGGGATGGGAGATGCAGACTTGTAAAGTGTAGTTGAGGTCCCAGTACTATGCCTGCGGCTATCCACTGATTACAGTTTGCCAACCTGAAAATGATATATCCCAGCTCTTTGCTAAGTTAGCTAATCCATGCTAATACATTAAACCTAAACACTGTAAGCTCCAATCTGCATGGTAATCTTTTCTGTTGGCACTTTATTGAGTGTCTTTTGGGTATCCCACAACGTTGCATTTACTGATATTACTTGATCAATCTTGCTTATTACTTCCTCATTTGAAGTCTCCGTTCCTCTGGCTGAACATACAGTTTCTCTAACACATTTAAGAGCAGGGTTAGACTTTGGTTTGCATCCTTCTCATTTTATGTTGGTTTTCCATTTGTTGTACAAATACACAGAGATTTAACGTCCCTGTCCTATGGGAGGCCATGTGTCTGTTTTGTATTAGATATATGTAGCAACAAAATACATTTTTAAAGGTAAATTTACATTTCACTGAATCACTTTGAATTTGCCTCCTCAGTTAGATTTCTGACATTACAAAAATCAAGTCTATGTTTTCATGATTGTAATGCAACTTATCAGTGAATATAAAAACTGAAAGAACTGCGAATGCTGTAAATCAGGAACAAAAACAAAGTTGCTGGAAAAGCTCAGCAGGTCTGGCAGCATCTGTGAAGAAAAAATCAGTTAACGTTTCGGGTCTGGTGACCCCCACAGATGCTGCCAGACCTGCTGAGCTGTTAGTAGTGAATATGTTAGCTTTGAAAGAAGAGCAGAAAGCCCCACTGATGGTCAAATGTCCACTGCTTTGTTGCAGACAGAAGATTGAAGAGCTGGAGGCTGAGAGAAGCCGTCTTGACAAAGCGAACAAGGACTTGGAAATGAAACTGGAGCGATACATCCTTCAGGTACAGGCATCTGAGATTTTGGTTGGGTTCACCATTGTATCATGAGCATCTATTGATTCAGAGATAGCTGGGGGAATCACTTTGGTGTCAGTAGTGGGAAATACTCACTTGTGGTTATAAAGTAGGTTCATTCTACTCAGGAGGTATTCAAAATCAGTCACTGGAAGAGAAAAATAGTGAATCACATTATCACAACTAAGCTGAGAACATTTTTCTTACGCAACAAGTTATGATCTGGAATGTACTTCCATAATGTACGGTGGATGCAGATTTAATACAAACTTTGAAGAGGAAATTGGATAAATTCTTGCAGGGAAAGAAATTCAGTGCTATGGAGATGAATTGGATTGCTTTATCAGAGAGATACCAAAGGCCTGATGGCATAAAGAATTTCTTTTGGAGTTGTAATGTTCTGTGGTCCAATTCCATCATCCTGTTCTGTGATTTTAAATTAATTACTTCCTTATTTTTAGAAGGAAAACATTTAGTGTTACGCCATTTACCACAGCTAAATTTTGCTTTGATTTCCCAACTAATTGTATCAGTTTATTGTAAAACATCCATGTATAAGCTTTGAGTCACTCTGCCAACATCATGAATCGCAAGTGTGAAATGTATATTTAAAAGAAAGCAATTTCACATTATTTTGTTTTCTGACCTGAAGCCTTTTGTACTGTCCTGCCTTGAATGCATATATACTATTCCGTAAATGTGACCTGCCAACTAAATCAAATGCAGCTGGAGGGTAGAATTTCACATTGTGCCTGCATGTTGTACTATGAAGACCACTGACTGAAGAATCTGTTTACATATTTGGATATATTTTAATGTCAGTTTCTGTAGTTGTTATGCTTCTGCTTTAAAAACTTAGTTCAAGTCTCACTCCAGGAACTGACCACATTGTGTCAATTGAAATTCGGTGCAGCACTGAGGGGTACTACATTGTTGAACATGTTGCGATGGTATGCCTATTAGTTTTCCTATTTTTCTTGCAATGATAGTGACGACACTTCTGAAATAATTCATTGGCTCTGAATTAAATGGGAATTTGGTGCTTTTTGAATGCACGTGTCTTTTCTATGTAGTGTGAGATTTCTGAAGAAGGGTCTAGGCCCGAAACGTCAGCCTTCCTGCTCCTCTGATGCTGCTTGGCCTGCTGTGTTCATCCAGCTGTACACCTTGTTGTCTGAGATTTTGTATGATGTATTTGGTATTTCAGCTTATTTTCTTATTTCATATTGTTTTCTTCCTCACAAGCCAGAAAGGTTTTGAAACACAAAAGAAAATTACTGTGTATAGTAGAAATTTTGTTAGGCAGCGCAGTATCTCTCCACAGATTCAGCCCGTGTATTTCCAGCACTTTCTGCTTTTATGTAAGGTTTCAATGTATTTTTTGAAATTGGAATCTTTTAGGTTCATACACTCATACAGCTTGGAAACAGACCGTTCAGTCCAACTTGTCCATGCCGACCAAGTTTCCCGAACTAAACTAACCTCACTTGCCTGCATTTCGCCCGTATCCCTATAAACCTTTCCTATTATTCTACCTATCCAAATGTCTTCTAAATGTTGTAACTGCACCTGCATCTACCACTTCCTCTGTCAGATCATTCTACATACGAACCACCTTCTGTGTGAAAAAGTTGCCCCTCATGTTCCTTTTAAATCTTTGTCCCTCACTTTTAAATATGTCCTTTAGTTTTGAACTCTCCCACCCTAGGAGAAAGACCTTTGCAATGCACCTTATTTATGCGCCTCGTGATTTTATAAACCTCTGTAAGGTCAACTCTCACATCCTCCGCTTCAGTGAAAAAAGTCCCAGTCTATCCAGCCTCTCCCTATAACTCAAGCTGTCTAATCCTAAGAACACCCTTGTAAATCTTTTCTGCAGCCTGTTGAATTTAATCATAATATTCCTATAGCAGGACGACCAGATCTGTGCACAGTACTCCAAAAGTGACCTCATCAATGTCCTGTACAACCGCAACATAATGTCCCAACTCCTATACTCAATGGTGTGAGCAATGAAGGCAAGTGTGTTAAACGTCTTCTTAACCAACCCATCTATCTGTACACAACTATCAAAGAACTATATACTTGAACCCCTAGGTCTCTCTGTTTGACAACACTTCCCAGTGCCCTATCATTAAATGTGTAAGTCCTGAACTTGTTCATGTTACCAAAATGCAACAGCTCGCGTTTGTCCAAATTAAACTCAGTCTGCTATTCCTCAGCCCATTGGTCCAATTGATCAAGATCCCTTTGTAATCTTAGATTACCTTCTTCAATGTCCACTATACAACCTGTTTTGGTGTCCTCCACAAAATTACAGACCATTGTTCCTAAATTCTCATCTAAATTGTTAATATAAATGACAAACAACAGTGGGCCCAGCAACGATCCTTGTGGAACACTGCTGATAATGGGCCTCCAGTCCATGAAAACTCTCCTCCACCACCATCTGTCTCCTACCATCAAGCTAATTTTGTGTCCAAATTGGCAGGCTCTCCCTGAATCCCATGTGACCTAAATTTACTAAACAATCTACCATGTAGAACCTTGTCATAGAGTTTATTAAAGTCCATGTAGACAATGTCTACCCCTCTGCCCTCCTGTATCTTCTTGGTCAAGTCCTCAAAAAACTCAGTCAACTTTGTGAGATATGATTTCCCTCAATTGTGAGATACAATGCTAACTATTCCTAATCAGTCCTTGCTTCTGTAAGTTCTATCTCTCAAAATCTCCTCTAACAACTTACCCACCACTGATGTCAGATTCACCAGTCTATAGTTCTCAAGCTTCTTCTTGCAGCCTTTCTTAAATAAAGACACAACGTTACGCATCCTGTGGCACCTCATCTGTAGCTGTAAATGATACAAATATCTATGATAAGGTTCCCACAATTTCTTCCCTCGCGTCCCAGAAAGTCCTGAGATACACCTGATCATGTCCCAGAGATTTATCCATCTTTGTTTTTTTAAGAGTTCTAGCAACACCTCTTCTGTAATGTTGACTGCTTTCAAGACACCAATATTTATTTCCCCAGCCTCCCTGACTTTGCCTACTGTAAATGGTGACAATAAATATTCATTCAGTATCTCTCATCTCCTATGATTCCACACAAAGATGGCCTTGTTGACCTTTAAGGGGCCCTAATGTCTCTGTAGTTGCTCTTTTGCTCTTAATGTACTTGTAGAATCTGTTTGAATTATCCTTAACCTTATTTCCCAGGCTATCTCATATCCCATTTTTGCTCTCCTGAGTTCCCTCTTAATAACGTTCCTCCTCCCCTTATATATTCTTCAAGGGGTTCACTTGATCCCAGTTGTCTATATCTGACACATGCCTCCTTCCTATTCTTGAGCAAAGCCTAATATCTTTATTCATCCATTGTTCCTTACTTCTACCAGCCTTACTCTAGACTCTTAACAGGAACATACTGCCTCTGAACTCTTGTTATCTCACTGTTGAAAGCCTCCCACTTGCCCCTTTACTTGTGCACAGACCAGCCCAATCAAATTTTGAAAGTAATTGTCTCATACCGTCAAAATTGGCCTTACTGCAATTAAGAGCTTTAACTTTTATCCAAGACCTATCCTTTTTCATAACTCTTTTTTAAGCTAATATAATTATGATCACTGGTCCCAAAGTGCATCCCCACCAACACTTCAGTCACTAGCCCTGACTTATTTCCCAGGAGAAGGTCAGGCTCTGCTCCTTATCCAGCATGACCCTTCATTTATCTTGCATTTGACTCTCTCAGTACCTTTCATAGAAGATAAGTACAGAATGATCTTCTATCAGTTCAATCCTTGACCCTGACAATCACAGACATTTTGGGAAAAAAATTGCAGAATGTCTGCTTTTTTAATGATATTGCATTGTCCATGGATAAATGTTCATATTTGTAAACATTTAGAAAATCTCCCATTTGAACTTATGACAGAAAAGCAATAGATTCACGATAGCCCATGACGTGAGGCCTATTGATTTAATGTCAACAACTATTGAGGCAATATCCATTTTTTTAACCTATATCAAGGGAAGAGTTTGCTGTGTCAGTTCGTACAAAAGGACAAAAGACAGCATGTAGCTTTTCTGGTACTGAGCATTAGTAGACAGACTTAGCAGTGAGCATTTGTTTAATTGTTGAGCTCAAAAAATAAAGATTAAAGTTGGTGTGAAAGTCGTGTTTAATAATGGTTTTGTAGCATGGAGGGTATCACTTTAAATGACAAAGCAGATTCATGTTGAGCTCTGCCAGTGAGGTGGCAGAAGCAGGCAAGCGAAATATTTGATGTTGGTCAAACTTCAATCTGATAGAATTGAACATTTGTTGCGATTAAAGTCAATGACTTGATTGTGTAGGAAAGTTCCAGTAATTTTGTAAGGATAAAGATCCCTTCAAAGGTTTTTAATGTTTCTTTTTCACCTTCATAGAATCACACAATAGTTGCAGTGCACCTATAGCTGAGCGACCAGAACTGTACCCAGTACTCCAAAAGTGGCCTTACCAACTTCTTGTACAACCACAACATAACATCCCTAGGACACTAACATTAACTGTATAAATCCTGCCCTTGTTCATCGTACCAAAACGCAGCATTTCTCATTTATCCAAATTAAATTCTAGCTGCCACTCCTCAGCCCATTGGTCCAATTAATCAAGATCCCTTTGTAATCTTAAAAACTTTCTGCACTGTCCACTATACCACCAATTTTGGTGTCACCTGCAAAATTACTAACCATGTTTCCTAAGTTCTCATCCAAATTGTTTATATAAATGATGACCAACGGTAGACGCAGCACCGATCCTGTGGAACATCACTGGTCGTAAGCCTCCAGTCTAGAAACAACTCTCCACCATCACCCTCTGCCTCCTACCATCAAGCTAACTTTGTATCCAATTGGCAAGCTCTCCCTGAATCCCATGTGATTGCTTCTTTTGCAAATCAGATTAAAACAATGCCTTCTTACTCTTATACATTTATAAGTAGGAC